CACATATAAGAATAATATTTATTGGATGTCGGGCAGGGGGGAGGGGAGAGGGGGGAGGAGGGGACAGGTATATGCATACACAAAGAGTGCAATGCGCACCACCCGGTGGATGGGCACGTTTGAAGCTCGGACTTGGGGGGGGAGGGAGGTCAGAGGCAACATATGTAACCTAAACATCTGTACCCCTGTAATATGCTGAAATAATAAAAAAAAATATAGATGCAAGGTGCAAAAAAACTAAAACCAAAACTTTTCAGTCTTAACATAATACAGGGGCTAATTATATGTCATTAAAATTAATGTTGTTATGCAGAGAATTAACATATAAAACAAGCCACATTTTCCTGTAAACTTTCATAGGAAGAAGACTATGTAATTATATCACATAACTTCACCCAAAATCCTGATATGTTTAATGTTATTGATATAAGGAATGGTTCTTTAAATCCATTGAACTGGAATACTAGCAAGAATGGAGACTGGCACCTTGAAGCAAACACCAGTACTCTGTATTACTTGGGTATGTACTCATTAGGCAGAAATGTGTGTGTGTGTGTGTGTGTGTGTGTGTGTGTGTGGGTGAGCACGTGGGAGTGTATGCACAGTGTATATATGTGTGTATGTGTGTATATGTATGTATTTAGAGATTAATGCTTTGTCTAAACGACAAGAAGAATTGCTTAATAGACAAATGTGTTATACAGTGTATTGTATATAGCAGGATTCAATAAATGTTTGTTGAGTGAAAGAACTGGACACTAAATTTAGGCTGCAAAAGGCCTTGAATTGAAATAAGAACTTATATTTTATGTTTGGAGATAACATCAACATGCTTACAACTGAATCCAATAGTTTTATTTCACAGAATTAGAGAAAAATAAGTACCATGGAAGCTGGCATATATTCATATATTTTGTTTCCATTTTATTATTTAACTATTTTGGAAAATAAAAATATTTAAAAATAAATTTTAATTAAATTCTAAAGCATTTATTTGTATCAAGATATTCCAACTGTATGCTTCTTAATAAGATGTACATTTTATCAGAATTTCTCCATGCCTACTCCATATATTTGAATTATACCAAGTTACATATCTAAAGGGCACTTTCCACAATGCCATGATTTTATTTATATTCAAATGCTTTGATCATCATGTTAATTTAAACCGTTTTTACTTCACTTTCAGTGTCAGGAAGGAATGACCTTCATCCCAGTCAGCCCACCTCTGGGACCCTGGATCCTGATGTGAAAGATGTTACTATTAATTTCCAGGCTTACTGTTGTATTCTCCAGGATTGCTTTCCTATACATCCCCCATCAAGAAAACCAATTCCCAGGAAGAGACCAGCCACTTATAAGTATATAGGCCTCTTCTAGTTAATATCTTTCAATATCTGTTGACATAATCCTTTTCATGTGTTACTCCTGGGTGAGATAATAATGCCTTCCTCCTGCACAGTGCTTTGTAGATTACACAGTACTTCCACTCTCATTACTTTGCTTGAGTCCTACAACCAACCTAATTAAAAAATGGAAAAATCTTATAAAAATTATGCGTGAAAATGACTGGTAACCTCACACTTGCAGAATGTTTGATTGGATTGTTAGTCCTGGCCCAACTCCCTAATTGTACAGGTGAGAAAGCCGAAGCCCAGTGACCATAAGTGAATTACCTGAGATTACAGAATTTATTGATGGCCTATCCGGTCCAGCATCAGAAACTAGTTCTCCTTATTAGTCCAATAAAGTGGCTCTAGAATAACCATCATGGTCAAATCTCATAATACAACTTATTTAATTTTATTTGAAATACGTGGTCTCTTAAATACATTTTAATTGTTCTGGTTAAAAACAATTTATCTATCTTTATAACTTATAGAGTTCTTTACCTTTATTTGTCATGTGAAACATCACTTTCTACCTTGTATCATAGTAATTACCATACATGATGGTATTAGTATAATTTGATACTAATCTTTAAAACCATTAAAGACATGATCCTGATTTGATGTATATTTGCATCCCTAATGGACAAATAATGATGATAAAAATGATGGTTATGATAAAAACTAACATTCAGTGAACACTTAATAGCCCACTACTGTGTATCAAGTATAACTCAATGATATTTTTTAGATGAATGACATTTCGAAATACATAAATACTGTAGTGGCTATTATATAAAAATGATAATTCAATTTGTTTATATATTCATTCAACCATTAAAAAATATTTACTGAGCACTAACTACGTGCCAGGCCCAGGGAATTCAATAGTGAACATCATAGATGTGGATCTCTGACTTCATTATGCTCATAGTCTATCCACAGAGACAGACCACAAGACAAACCAATAAACAAACAGAAAAGTAAACAGAAAATAAAGTACATAAATGTGAGTTATGATAAATGTTATAAAGGGAATGGAGATAGGGTGAGACAAAGAACAACATAGCAGGGACTGCCTTGGGGTGAGTGGTTGGGAACACTCACCCAGAGGAGAGATCATTCCAGCTGCAACCCAAAGGATGAGGAAGAGTTCTCCCTGTGAAGGATGGGAGAGGAGTGTTCAAGGCCAAGGGAGCAACTTGGGAGTTGGGAGCAGAGGTCCTGAAGTGCAAGAACTGAGAGAAAATCATCATGGCTGGGCCCTACTGAGCAGAGGAGAGTGGCCTGGAGGTGGTATTGGAAACAGACTATTCAGGTCATGCAGGCAGTAGTGAGAAATATGGGAAACCTTTGAATGATTTTAAGTTGAGAAGTGACATACTCAAAATACCATTTCAAAAAGACCACATTTGCTAATCTGCGGAGTATGTATTACAGAGGGACAGTAGAGAAAGTGGGGGAGGGGGGCTCATATAAAGGCCTAGAGACCTTTATAAGACATACGAACCATCAAGGTTACTGACCAAGAAGCCCTTATATATTCTAAGGTAGATATAATTATTAAATATTTAAGTAATACCTACTATGACTAGCACAACAGATTTAGATTGGTCTAGACCAAATGTGATAAAGGTATATGATGATATGCTACATATATACTTGGGCTGTCCAGAAACTATCCAGCCATGGATACAATGGATACATGGATAGAATGGCTGGATACTTTTCCAGACAGCCCTCATATTTCATAGTATAGTTTTTCTTTCCCCCACAGTATGAATTTTCCTCACTGGAAATAGCTATAATTGGATTTATTAATTTATGTTATTCAGACAGCTATCAGCAAAAACAAATGGAATCTTGATCCAGAACTGGGACCCCAGGATTACAATATAAAGCTCAAGCTATAAACTCAAATGCTTTGTTTAAGAGGGATTGGGCTTTATTTATCATAACAATGGCAAGTAAGAAGAATAACATGCATGCTGATAGTGATAGTGTTGGTGAGGATAAGAATGAAGGACTATTAATCTTGAGAAGAGCTAGATAAAATCAGTCTTTAATATGTGCCATGCTGGTCAGTTTATTTAGTTAAATAAATACAACCCTTTAAAAAACCTCCATAAAATTTTCCTGACTCTAAATAACCCTTTAACCACTAACCTTGTTTTGAAACCCATTAAGACAATTTTTTTTTTTTTCTTTAAAGACCCTGTTGCGCAGGCTAGAGAGCAGTGGCCTGATAATAGGTCATGGAAACCTTAAACTCCTGGCCTCAAGAGATCCTCCTGCCTCAACCTCCCAAGTAGCTGGGACTACAAGCATGCACCACCATGCCCAGCTAAATTTTTTTTTCACATTTAGAGACATGGTCTCACTAATGTCTCCCAGGCTGGTCTTGAGTTCCTGGCCTCAAACAATCCTCCCACCTCAGCCTCTGAAGTAGCTGGGATTATGGGTATAAGCCATTGTGCCTGGCTCCAAGACAAAATTTTTTAAGAGGATTTTTGATTGACAGATTCCTTAGTAATGCAATTTAGTCATATAAATGTTTAATAAAACTATTAGTATCACAGAATACTAATACAGGTATGGGATTTAGTATCACAGAATTTTTGAATTTTTTACTGGGTTAGGAGAGCAACCTCTGATTGTGAACCTTTTCCAATAGGGAAATATCATCAACTTTATAATAATATTCTTTACAGCAATTTATATTAAGAGGTAGTTTCTAGGATGCATAGTGGTGAAAAGTGGAGACTCTGTCCTCCAATGTTCTTTCCACATTTATTCCAATTTAACATAGCCTTCACTCTGGATACTGACCTGCCCTTTGGCCCCAGCCTGGGGGCTTAACCTCACTGAATCATCCTTGCCAATTCAGAGACAATTCTTCCTGCCCCTCCCTTCACAGAATCTAGCCAACTATATCCTCCATTTTTTTTCACTTCTCCACCATGTAAAATCTTATAATGAAACTGAAAAATCTACATTTTAGTCAAAAATAGGGTATATATCACAGCAAGTGTATTTAGAGAAAAAGCAATTTGAATTGTGACCGAAAGACAATTTTCTTCAAAGGGAAAAAACTATGTAATTTGTATGTGTTGAATATTTTACTAACTGCACCTATTAGCTTGTCTATTTTGTGAAATTATAAACTATCTAATTTGTATTCTGTCCTCCTCAAAACATCTAATATAGTGCTACACCGTATGGAGATGGTCATTAAATATAAAGAGATAATAATTCATGGAAATATTTCTCTTTTCAGTTTATGGTCAAATGATTCTTTTTGGCAATCATCTCGAGAAAATAATTATACTGTACCTCACCCAGGATCAAACGTGGTTATTCCTGAAGGTAAACACATAAACACAAATGAGTAAAATGCATATGTTTATATAACATCTATGACAGGGAAGACGTCACAGTTGTTAGGTTTCCACCTTTATGCAGCACACCTTGGTGAAAGAGCAAATGTGAAGACTCTATTATTATGGACTCTATTATTATGTCCTAGATACTGAACCTAGACTTTTGGGGTTTATGTGGATTTAAACGTATTAACAATAGCAGATTTTCTGGAAGAGACAGGAATCAATCATGTGGAAAGATAGGCCATCATCTTCAAAACCAGGATTCATTGATAAGCTTGTCAATGTTTTGTTATAGGCTGTAGTCTGTGGATCATATTTCTTAAAGTATTGTTTTACAGGAACATGGATTGTAGCTGACACAGCTTTGCCTCCAATGGAAAGGCTCATTATTTGGGGAGTTCTAGAACTGGAAGATAACTATAGTGTGGGAGCTGTAGAGTCTTCTTACAGAAAAGTTGTTTTGAATGCTACCTACATATCACTACAGGTAAGAGTGAGGGTCTTGTAACTTATACCCTTATTAATCAAATTCTAAAATGTAGATTTACTGAAATAATACTAAGCATATTCAACTGGTATGAATAAAAAACCCAGCTAGCTCTAGCCCATGAAATGCATGCCTCACGTAAGTCCAATGTACTTCTGCTCTTCTTTAAATTGTGGACTAACCATTTCTTAGGAGTAATTATTATGGTACTCTTGAGTGTGAGGTCTACCCAGTTTCAATTCTACGTAGAATATTTGTGCCACTGTTAGGTAAGGCCATACTAACAGGTTGCTCTAACAAAGAATCCCTAGGAGTTCTAGAAAAAGTTAAAAGAATTTAAGCCCTTTTTTATTTCTTTAAGAAAACAATTTTTCTTAAAACAAATTGATGTAGATGAAATTATGAAAGTAAGAGAAGACTAATAAAAATGTTACAATTATTTGGAATAATCACCACATTCATAAAACCTCAAATGGTCTTGAACATGTAACAGCTTAATCAGTTTAATTGTCCTGTCAGTCTTGTAATATTATTCATGAAAAAGGATGGCCTAACCAAAAAGCTATTAAGCACCATTAAAAAAATAAAAAATGGTTAGTAGATTTTCTTTGAGAAAAGAAATAAAGTCCAGAAACATGGGCTTCAATGTTTTTAAAGTGCATAATACTTTGATTAGATATATGCCTTTGAGGTCAATTAGAGCTACACTTGCATCTTTACCTTATTGTTTTTCAGTTGGGTAACCTTGGGTAAGTTATTTGACCTCTTTTAGCATCATTTTTCTCACCTATGAAATAAGAATAATAATACCAATGCATGAGTTTAATGTAAAGGTTAAATGACATAATATATGTGAAGCCTTACCCATGATGCCTGACACAGAATCAGCAAGCGTGTAATGATAGCTATTATTATTAACAATGGTGGTTCATAAATGGCATAGCTTGGATGGAAATGTGAAGAGTGTATTTGGTATACGGCATACTACATTCAAATACAATATGATCTGTTCAAACACCACTACTTCAGATTTTATGAGATCTCAGTTTTAGATCCAGTTCTGACAGTAAATAGATATTGAATTTGACCTTGTAATCATTTAAACTGCCTATCCCAAAGTAAATGGGCTAAATTAAAGTCACTTCCAATTACAATACTGTTCTTTATATAGGAAAACTCATTCCTTTTTACTAGGAGAGGCTGCTAGTGACTTCTTAACTCCTTTTTATGGGGGATTTTCTTTTATGCTTAATTTTTAAGTATTAACAATTTTCTGTTGCACTGTAGGGAGGTAGATTAATCGGTGGCTGGGAAGATGACCCTTTTAAAGGAGAATTAAAAATTGTTCTTAGAGGAAATCATTCCACCCCAGAATGGGCTCTTCCAGAAGGACCAAATCAAGGGGCAAAAGTATTGGGTATGTATCTCCAGATATCAAAAGTGTCATATCAGTTTTGAGAATCTACTTTAAAATATACAGCACTAAAGTACTTATCAGTTCATGATGTTACGGTATCAGTAGATTTTACAGACATTTATGTATAGTAAAGGGTTATAAAAGTAGTAGAGATTTTTAAAAATTAAATTATATCACATTATACCAGATAAAAATAGATATAAATGCATGTATTTTAAACCAAAATGTAACTTATTACAAAATTAACATTAACAAATCTCTCCATATGCATATTATTTCTTGAGTCTGGTTTTCTTCATAATCTTTCCTTTACATAAGCAATAATATTTTTCATATTATAGTGCTTTTCCCTTAAAAGATAACTTTCCTGCACATTATTCCATTTACAATATTAATAAATAATCTGTGGATCAGTTGACTCTGCTATCAATTATTCAATCACAACTGTTGCTGAGATTTAATTTCCATTTGCATTGGTACATTGTGCATATTACTGTTTAAGCCCAGAATGCAAACAACCTGAAAGAGTTTAATTTAGTCACAAGTGATAACTGCTTTTATTAATACTACAGCATATTTATTTAAGAGATGTATATAAACATGTGCCACAATTGCTCCACTGTATAATTTCTAAAACTGACACCCAGTAAATAAGGGGATAAACAAATGGCTCTAGCTTGAATTAGTCAGTTCACCACTGGCAAATGTCCTGAAGCAAATTCAATCTTAAAAAAAAATTATTTTATGTGTTTGTTTTTTATTTCAAAAGTAACACTCCAAACCACACAGAACAATATCAAGAAAATATTTCTTAGAAATATACATCTTTCCAATTTTATCTTCCTTAAGGAAACTAGCATTAGATAACAATTTTTATGTGTCTCCCATGTTTTCTATCTATGCCTATATTCATATTACATATACTGATTTGTGGTGGTACTATTGTTCCTTTTATTAAAACATGGTCAAACTAAGTACACTATTGTGCAATTTTCTTTTCTTAGCTAACATATTATGAACAACTTTCCAGATCAAAACTTATAGATAAAACTCTTCTTTTTCATAGTGTTATTGCTCCTCTGTATTAATATATTAAAATTTATTCCATCCTTTTCCTATTGATGTACATTTAGATTAATTCCAGTTTTCTAATATTTCCAAATATCGCCATAGTAAACATTGTCATCCATGTACTCCTGTGTACTGGCTTTAATTTCTAGGAACCAGATTCATGGAAGTAGGTCAAAAGGTCAAAGTCTTCTTTCACAGCTCTGAGTAGATAACTCCAACTCATTCCATTCATTCTCAAAT